AAAGCTGGTTTACCAACTTAGAACAGACGCCTCTCAACAGATGTCAACAACTACCGGCACCTAACAAACGACTCATTAACGACGTGAACAAACCGACAAACAGACCGACCAACAACAGACGGATCGAAACCGACCAATGACTGTTAACAAACTCTACACGAGTCTTCCAGCCGATCACATCTCGGCTAAACAGACCAATCACGTTCAACAGACCAGACTTTATAACATCATCGACTGACAACTACTCTCCACTTGACTCTGAAGATGACTTCCGCACAGGTCGTCGAAACGTCAGTCACCAACAACAGTTCTTTTCAGAACTACACTCACCAAGACGATCACACTAGAGGAACTACTGATACTCCTGGGTTCAAACCATTTACTTTACTGAGAGTGGGTTTACTGTTCAAACAAAATCAGTTTACAACGGTACGGTCAATTCATTTGCATCAATTCAACGAATTAAATTCGGCAGAAATTCGACGTCTGAATCGGCTGCCGCATTTCTGCCGCACGTTCGACTAGTCTTGTCGCATTATCCGACAGAAATGCGACACCGATTCAAACGTCGAATTTCTGCCGTGTCGAATTTAATTCATACATTATGTTAATGTATTGAGCATGCGTAGACTGAGGCTAGCTATAAAAAGATGGCGTCACGAAGGGAAGAGACTTCAGATTCAGAAGAAGAAAGCTCTTTGTCTTTGTCTGACAATGAAAATTTGGCCCCGCCGAATAAAAAGAGACGAGGCAGAAAAAGCGCAATGGCGAGATTGTCACGTCGCCGACATGGTAGATGTTATTTGCTCCAACGACAACTTTTCTAGGAAGCTGATTTTCACAAACTCCAAAAACACCAGAAACAACGAAGTGTATGTTCAAGTGCTGAAGGAAGTCGAGAAGCGATACACAGGCTCGAGTAGTTTTCCCTTCTCGACTGGACAAATGCGAACAAAATTTAAACGTTGTGTAGCCGAGTGCAAGAAACTTGCACTGACTATCAAGACGGCGACTGGTGTTAAAAGAATTCAAGAAGATCGTGGTTATGGGCCATGGTTCAACCAGTTATTTTCCTTGGTGCAGTCAAGAGATTCTTGCAACCCAGAGTTTGCAGAGGAGCCTTCCTCCAGTCGCAATGCCTCGAGCTCGGCGAGTACTGAAACCAGTCCAGAGGACGAAGGCAAAAACCTTTTTGTCCCCAGAAAAAGATCCAAGGAAAAGAAAAAGAAGGAAGACATTATGACGTCTGTTGTCGAGGTTCTGAAAGATATGTCCCAACAGGACACTACTGCTGACCTTCGGAAATTTTTCGGGAAGAAAACGAACGAGCCAGAGAGCATGAAATGCGTCTATTTCAATTGTTTATGTCTGGTACTGGGAGTCAAGCATTTACCCCTAATTTCACTGCTCAAAGTCAAGGCATGTCGATGAATAATCTTCCCGCACTGAATTCCCCTGGGCCAAGTCATACGTACCATCAGCCCACAGGTTCAGTGATGGCTGGTACTGAAAGAGTTCCAAACTACAGTCTCCATGCATCAGGTGAAATGTATCAACAACCCAGGGGCGATGAGGCAAATACCTACCCAACTTGGCCAACCTACCACAGCCTATGAGATTATAAGCGACAAGACAGTTTATTTTTCTCGTTTCTTCCCTATAATTTGGTTTGTAAAACATAACTTTCATTAATTTTTTTATTACTGAATTGCCTTATACAGACTTGTTTAAGTGAAGAACAGTTACTTTGGACCATTGTTTTATACTAATATTTATAAATTAAAAAGGTGCCTTCCTGTTACAAGTGCAATGCTCACTCAAATTGTAGTGTTTATGCATGCTCTCTCTTTGCATATTTGTCGTATGTATTGAAATGTTTTATATTATGCCATTATTAAGATGTATGTATACAATTAGAAATGTACCCAGTAGTGGGATGGAGGGACTTCAGATTTTTAATGGGAAGGTGTCTCAACTAAGAACTGATTTGGGGGAGTTTCAAATTCATGATTTCAGGATTTATTATTTTTTTTATTGTTTTAGGCTGAATTTAAATATATCAAAATTGGTGTATTCTAGAACAGGGAATTCATTGGGGTTTTGCCTAAAGCCCCAGAGATTATCTTAAGTTTTAATTTGTTTTAAACTGTACCTTCCCATCACTTAAAATCTGGAATATCCCTCCCCCCTGTCCCAGGGATCACATTAAAATTTCAAATAACAAACAGCATGCATTTTTCATTAATTTTATTTGGCAATAGCAATAATTACCATAGCTACTATTTATTATAATGCAGTGAGCAAGATTAATCTTCAGAAGCTATCAAAGTACTTGGGAGTGAAAAGAATAAACAGTTTTTCTTTGTTGCCCCTTGAAATCATTCAAAAAACCTTCATTACAAAGGTATGGGTAAATCGGCCACATTTGTATCCAAGGTATTGGACTGGAGGACTGGAACTAGCTTGCAACAGGCTCATGAATTCCAATCCAATACTGAAAATACCAATATGGTCCATTACTAAGGGGATATGAAAATGGAATAAATTTATTACAACCATTCAACAGTCTAACATTACCGGTAGTTGAAATGACAAAAACACGAGGTATTTCCCTCAGTAACATGAAAGCTGAGGGCTGGCAAGTTTTGCTCCAAGAAAATAACTCAAATTTGAGAGATCCCATAACTTTACTGCAATTAAACCAAAACAAAAACTTGATGTCATTAATTACTTTAAACCTTTAATGCCCAATAGTGAATTATAGATTTTACTCTGTCTAACGCCAGACAATTTTACTCGTCAAAGGGAGACCCCTTGGGCACTTAAGGGTTAAAAAATCAGGGCAAATAAAAACATTGGATGACTGTCAAGGAAGAAAAGCGTGGAAGCCTTTAACAGGTAATCAGTGTAAATAGCAATGATCAAAAGAGACAGATTCAAGATGAACAAAAAAGGCTTTTTTTGTGTCACAATAATCAACTATCATAGTTGAACAATTCTTGGGTTAAAATGTTTTCAACTACTTTACATCTGCAAGAAACATCTAACATACCCCATGTCCCTCTTGCTCTCTCCAAAACTTTTCTACAAGAGCATTTCGAATACGGGTTGCCTGTGGGCAAGTGTCCCTTATCTTTGGGCAGTTCCTCATTTGTAGAAGTCTTCGTATTGTTGCTCTATCCCTTAATTATCCTGTGGAAGGATCTCTTGTCAGATCAAGCTTTTGTGAAATAGTGTCACCTCTGTCAAGACAAACATTATGGAGAACAATGCAGCATAATGAAGCTAATCTGACCCCGTCTGGTCTGCTTTCACATTTTCTCAGAAGAATTTTCCACCTGCCTTTAAGTTGCCCGTATGCTCCTTCTGTCACCATTCGCCCTCTACTTAGCCTATAGTTGAAATAACGTTGTTGGGGAGTAAGTACAGCATTTGTAAATGGTTTCAGTAACCATGTTCTACATGGAAAAGCAGAGTCTCCAAGGATAACAGGTGAGACATTTACTCCATTAACATTTCTACCTAGATTGGGTATTATCTCTCTCTCTGTAATATCTTCCCAAAGTTCAGTAGACTGAAAAATTATTGAATCATGAGAGTTCCCAGGGAACCCACAACTAGCCCAAATGAATCTATATTTAGCATCAACAATAGCCATAAGTACAATAGAATAAAAGTTTTTAAAGTTATGGTATTCTTTCCGCGATTCTGCACCACCAGCAGGGCACTTTAAAGGCAAATGACACCCATAGATTGCGCCCCAGGCATATGGAAACTGCCACAATTGCTCCATGTCTAAAACTTTCTCCTTGTACTGTGCTTCACTTGTTGGGAAATGTTGTTGCACGCAGTCTTTCCATAAATTATCAACAATTGCCCCGCACACTTCACTCACTACACCGCATACGGTTGACACTCCCAAACCAGTCATCTCCGCAATGGTGAAGTAATAGTCGCCTCTACCAAGGCGGTACAAACAGATTGCTAACCGGAAAGCTGTTGATATAGGTTCTTCAGTGACTGTTTCTCGTTCTAGGTCATGTTCGATACGACTGAGAATAAACTGGAATGTTGCTCTTGATACTCTGAACAACTTTTTAAACCTAGCATCCGAGTATTGGTGCCAAACAATATTAAACCAACCTGTACTTCTTGGTAGTCGGCGACAGGATCGATAAACTTGTGTTGCATTTTGATGAGACAAAATGAGAACAATCAACAGCAAAAGTTGAATTATTAGTCTATGCTTTTCCTGAAGACGATGCAGCATATACTGTTGCATTGTCAGCCTCCTCCTTCGCCTTCCTTCAAAAACTTTTTGCAAAATAAAGAGCCTCCGTTTAGTATCTTCGTCCGCCATATTAGATAGTTACGTCTAGTTACGTAACCTTTGTAACATTTTTCCGCTGACGGACCTGCACCGCAGTATCAATTCAAAGAATTAAATTCGGCAGAAATTCGACGTATGAATCAGCTGTCGCATTTCTGCCGCACTTAATTGAATTGAATTCGACACGGCAGAAGTGCGACGTATGAACCGGGCTTAAGGTAATCTTAGGAAAATTTTTAGATTATGGATCGGAAATAAATGTATACGATGAATTTCCTCAAATATGAGTTTTCCCAATGTCCACGCAGGTGAACTGTATCTTAATAGCAATCTCAACCCAATTCTTGTTGCATATTCAGTAAACGTCGAGTTGACGTTTTCAAACTATTACTGCTGTACAATAGAACAAAAGTGATACTCAAAGAGAATTTATCATCAAGATTTAAACAGATGAGATCTGCGTGTGAAACATATTCACTTTCAAAGATAAATTCCTCGTTGTGGAGAGAGTTTGTAGAAACTCTGTGTAAAAGATAAATGTTACTTTGCATTTTATGGCTTAGGTAACCTTAGGGAAATCTTTAGATTATGGATCAAAAATAAATGTATACGATGAACTTCGTCAAATATGGGTTTTTCTAATGTCCACGCTGGTGAACTGTATCCTTATAACAATCTCCACCCAATTCTTGTTACATATTCAATAAAAGTCGAGTTGACGTTTTCAAACTATTATTGCTGTACAATGGAACAAAAGTGATACACAAAGAGAATTTATCATCAAAATTTAAACAGATGAGATCTGGGTGTGAAACATATCCACTTTCGAAGATAAATTCCTCGTTGTGGAGTTGAGATCCATCCGATTCTTGGAAGCCATCAGTGGCTGGGACTTGCCCAAAGGTTCCTTCAAGAATAGAATAAACGCCTTACGAAACCTGTGGAAAAAAGGACGTGTTTACTTCTTACCTAGATTTAACAGAAAGTTCTAAAAATATATGCGGTGAAACAAACTTGATTTGTGTATTCAGTCATTCAAGCCTCTACTAAATTGATATTTGATGTGGCCTCCAACGATTAAAAAGAAATGACAACATCCTATTGGTATTGTAAAATGAGAGATCAAGAGAAAAAGTCATTGTCAAAGTGTTGTTACTCTTTTTTTTTTGTAGTCCAAATGAAATGGAAACAAGAACAATCACAACATGAATACTTACCGAGGAGTCTTCAGAGAGTAAATGATCGGATTTGCCATACTGTTCAGATGATTGAGAAAGAAGGCAAGGAAATGAGGCCATGAGCCATGAACTTTAGATATGTTGTGTAGCAACATCGGTAATACACCCATGCAGAAAAAAGAAACCACAGTCAAGCCGATCGTCTTTGCTGTCTTCACGTCATTTTTGGTCTGTTTTCCCGTAGAAGAGTAGGCCGAAATGCGTCTGCTATGGTTATGCAGGGTGCGCCAAATCGCCACTCCCATAACTACCATGATCATGAAAGGCACAACATACCCTGGAATGATAAAATGCCTTCCAAATTTCTTTAAATAATGCATTCTGTACTGAAGCACTGGGGCATCACCAAGGTCAATGTCCAGTCCCAAAGTGAACATTCCATACGTATAGGCAGCGGCAAAAGTCCACACAAAAAACACTGCTGCTTTCGCCTTGTTGATTGTCTTCCACGAGTGATAATGAATCCCGTGGACAATGGCTCCGAAGCGGTCCATTGTAAGCACCGTCAGATTAAATACGGTGAGGTGCATGAAAAGTACGTACCATGTCACTATGAACCAGGAGATTGCAAGTCCTTTCAAATACGGAACTTGGTATATGTACCACATGATCATCAGTGGCATGTTGGTCACTGCGTTTAAAATGTCAATGACAGCCAAGTTTACAATAAGGATATTGGGAACTGTTCGCAAAGTCTTGAACCTGACAAGAAGAAAGCAAATGATGCTGTTCCCAACTATAGAACCAATCATAACGATGGCAATCATCGAAACGTGCAAGATTTTTTGCGAGTCGTAACTGAAACTCTTTCGCGCTGTCTCATTCATGGCTCATTTGCATCCGCCCAAGACAGCTCAAATACATGTATAGCCTTTCCGGCCGGATGAAAGAAGATGCCAGCATTTACGTCAATGCTCGTGGCTTTGAATGCTGAAAAAGATAACGCAAGATTTATGAGCTCTTTAATTACCAGTGTCAGTCTACGTCTTTTAGGGTAATTTCCCTGCGAAGTATGGATGATTAAGAACGAAAAAATAACAGCAATCACTTTTCATTGAATCATATTGGATGTAGAAGTTGCCCAAATTCCCAGTAGATGCTTCATCTTACAAAACATAGGAAGTAATTTCGAACTGAATGATTCTGAAAAGAAAAAACGCAAACCCGTATTTACATTTCCTACAAATCTATTAACGTTTTTCATAAAATGTACCCTAATCTAAACTTATCGCTTTCCGCCAACAATTTCCTTCTTCGATGACGTGATACTAAACTTATGAGCCATTTACACCGTAGAGATTCTTCTGATGAACGACGAACGAAAACTTGTTAACGCTTTGTGAACGAAGCCCAACAAAAACGTTACACTAAAACGTACGTTTTCTAGTACCTACTTGACGAAAGTTCAACTGCGAATAAAAGCCACCTGAATTTATCTATCTTTCAAAGCGTTTGGGACAATAACGAATACTCTTTATACCATGTCCAATTAATATTCACGGCTCCCATTCATAAAGGTTACCTTTAAAATCCAACTGCATGTGGAGATACAAATTCAACAATGAAAAAGGGAGGTGATGTAAACTGCATTTGAAATGTTTTGAGATAGCTCTGCGAAATTATATTGCACATGCAAATGAAACGTGGAAATGACCCGAGAAAATCATTTTGAAGTTGCATGTGTCAACTTGATTGATAGGATTTTTATTGTATTTATAGAAACTTTAGCGAACTCGAATTTGCAGCTGCTAACTTGACAGCTGAAATTTGGGAATTCTAAAGTGCGTTTCCCTTTTGCGATGAGATTGTTTAAACATGCCTCCTGAATGCAGACCATCTTGGTAAATCAAAAGCGGTAACAAAGGATATGACCCAAAACCATAACTAGGATAAAATGACGAGATGAAATATATTATGAACGGCAATAATTACTAAGTAAACGTGCTCCCGTCGTGTTTTAAAGAACAAATAATTTAAGATTTAAATTACATAGCCGCTGTAGTACTTGTTCGCTGAATAAATTGCTTTCTTTCAATACAATCGCCACAAGACTCTGCCTATTATGCAGAGTATCACGTCTGAAAACTATAGGTTCCTATCGGTTCAACGAAAAGATACATGACATTTCTCACATAATTTGAGAATTTGTGAGGAGATCATTAGGCAGAACAAGAGCCAAGTTTAAACCTTCGTTAATCCTGGGTTTGAAGAGTGTTTAATGAGTTTGCATTATTATCACCTTAATCTTCCTTTGAATCAGTTTTAAGCAGAAAACCGACGCTGTTTTGGCTTCTCCATAACTCCGCATGATATTTAATATTTCCATTCATACACGCATCAAAAGACATAGAGTAAAAACATAGTTATTAATTCTACCACGATGACCTCAGTCGGGAGCGTTGAAATGGGCACATTTTCAGGCGAAATCCTACCAGAATAATTTAGAAATTACAGCTAACAAAAATAAAAAAAATAGCTGTCTCTAAAAATTGAATAGAACGGTGAGGACCGGGGCATGAAACTCTGTAGAGTCAGTTTCGCATTTTCATTATTGTGCTCCGCTGAATGCTTAATCAAGGGCCCTCGACAACTTGTGCAGGACGGCTACTAATTGTACGAAGATGTCTCTAGAAGATAGCTTCTTGACCATTATTTCACCGAAGTTTGACATGCCCGCAAGTGTCTCAGTTATCAGGTAATGCGTTTTAATTGTTTCGGAAACTTTTTAAACTCATTTAATTTTAATCTTAAGGTTATTGGGGTGTCGTATTTCCCAGAAAAGTCCGAGTCCTTGTTCATGCTAGTTTTAAAAAAGGAAATTTGTCGAGGAAAAGCTTGACAAGTGGCGAAACTTGCCAATGTGTGTGGGTCAACAAAGAAAACTTAAAAATAAATTGTGGGCGCCCAAAGGTCTCATTTGGGCAAAAAACAAGGCCGCAAAAAGTATTCGCTGTACTAATTTTGCTACATCCCTCCATTTACAGAAGTTATGGTTACGAGAAAACTTTTGGAGCATAGAGTCAAACAGATATAAAGATAGAGACAAAAAGAAGACTGAGTATGGAAAAATCTTCAATTTGTTGAAAAATGAGGTTCCTGGCATCGATTTTTCCTCGCTTGAAGGTGATAGATAATTCTTGCGATTGTGTAGCTTTTTTTTTGTGTCAGTCTGTATTAGAGGAATCATCAGATATGGTTTTCTGTTCTTGTAAGGTAAAATGCAGAGTCTGAACAAGTTACAGAGAAGAGTTAGAAAAGTAAAGAAGTCCTAAGACACTAGAAAAGGTGCAGAGGATACATACGTTCCAAAATGGAAGCATTTTGATGAATGTTCTCTCCTTGGGGATGTATTTGACTCCAAAAATCCAACTCTTTCCAATCACATGCCGTATGGAGGTCCTTGGACACCAAGCGAAATTCCTGTTGGCGAATTTGACGATACTGAAAGTGAAACAAGTGCGGACACAACAATCAATCAGTCAGCGACCGAAAAAAAAGGAGAACAGAAAAAAAGAAAACCAAAAAAAAAGTTCATTCGATGAAAACCGTAGGATCAGCTTTGAGCGAGATTGTCAAGGGAGCAGCTAACTCATACAAGTAAGATGACAAATAGGAGATCTCCGTAAGAGATGTTGCCAATTATAGATGAGCAGTAAAAAAAACGTGGATGTACAACGTCGTGTGAAATTAGCTGTCCAAGTAGCTGTAGTTTAAACAACAGATTAGGTAGTGCAGCAGCAAACCTCCCAATCTGCAGCTTATTTCAATTTTAATATTTAACAAGAAAATGGCAATTAAACTAACCATAGCTTTTAGTGTATAGGCTTTTTTCTCAACAAAAGGGTTCCTTGTGAACACCAGTGAACTACTATGTGCTCTTTATATAAAATAACTAAAAGTCTGCATCATTAAAAAATAGTACTAGGAACTGTTCAAAATTTAATAGGGAGACTACAGTCTTCTCTCTCCTGCAGGGCCCTGTTGTTCGAAGGGCGATTAGCACTAACCCAGGATTTAATTTTAATCCAGCTTTCTGTATTTCTCTGTTCAAAAGCCGTTTTGGGATAATTTTCCTAATTCTTTTTAGACATTTAAAGCTTTCAGATCTGAAATAAAAATTCATACTAATCCTGGGTTATCTTAACCCAGCTTTGAACAGCCCGGCCCTGGAGCCTAAAATTCGTGACTTCCCACTAATGACTTCAATGAACATTTTCAAGAATACCTTGAGCTACTCATGAAACGAGTGAACTTTATCCGGCAAAACAAAACCATCGATTAAAAATTTTTAACCTGGAGAAGCAAAGCAGAGAAAGAAGCATACCTAACAGCATTTCCTTCAAAGAACTGGAAAGAGGACAAAGTAACAAGTAAAGAAGGGAAGAAAGATCACTCGCTGACAAGCTGCAATGCATGTCTTTTATTCGAGTCTCTAATACAATGTACCTTCCCTTTAAGTAAGTTTTGCAGAAGAGCTAGGAAGAGAACCCTGACTGAACTCAATGCAAATGTCAAAAGGCACTTTCATCAGGTTACAAAAAGGAAATTATAAAAGCATCGGAGAAGCAAGATATGCCCCTTAACATGTAAAATGCAAAGAAAACTTTCAAAAATGACCCAGAGATGTTCCCCGAAAGTGGTCTTCAAAAGAAGCCTTCACCTTGTCTTGTTGAGTAGAACACCCAGCCCTTTATCTTTCTAATTAAAGAGAGTTCATGCCACGAAACCGTCATGAACTTTTTGCTATCATTAGTCATTAGTAAGATTCTGACACGCCACATTTAAGGGTATCTAAGAAGCAAGTAGTCCCGGGTAGAAATGCCTCTTGCAAGCAAGAAAAATTCCCTTCCAAGACAACAGAAAAGAAGTCTTAATTAAAAACAAAGACCTCCAAAAAAAAGAAGATGCATTATAGAAAGAGCTCGGTGAAAATGAGAATCGTGCAGAGCTAAAGAAGATCCGTGATGATACCAGGGGAACACACGATGAACTAAAAAAAAAAAAAGGCTGAGAGGCTTTCAGCGGAAGGAGCATTGGCTGATTTGGCACGACCCGGCACTCAACCCGATGCAGAAGCTACAGTTCAACCTAGCTTTTTATTATTTGCCACAACAAAATAAAGGGGAAATCATACAATTTTCAAACATTATTTTCACTTTCGCCGTACTGTGTTTAGGCCAAGCTAAAAAAGATCAAATCAATTGAAAGCACAAAAAGTACCACCTTACACATTATCCTGGCTTTGAAACCCGTCTATCTGGCTACAGGGTCGCCAAGAATGAACACACATGCCATTGCTCTGTTTAGATGAATCGAATAAAAAACTTGAATTGAAAAACATGCATATGGTCTACATTATAATTTTGGACACCAGGGTTCCACGTCTCAAACAAAGGAAACTGACTTTCGAAAAGGAAAGGCAGTTGCAGATAGTTGATGCAAAGTGTGAGCAGGTGAAGGCACTTGTAGTTGCTTGTAGAGGTAGAACTTATAGAGGGGATGAAGACCTTCCTTGCACACATGAACCTTATGTGTCTTGGGTGGTGCATGTGTACAAGTTCATAGCAGGTCTAGCGCGGGATTAAAAATACACGGCTTAGGAGAGCTATAAACAGAGAATTCACAGAGAGCACATGTGAAGACTTGCATCAGCACTGTCCAAGTACTTCTTTATCTACTTATGTGTTTGAACGTTGACGCACCACAATAAATCAAGAGTTCAATTAATTGACTGTTACCTGCCGTAGCTCTCAGAATGAGACCTCATTCGAAGAAAATCAGGTATAGTAATAAACTCGTTTAGGTTTTTTTTTTTTTTACATATATCAGCAGTCTACCTTTGAAAATAACGATATCCTGGGGTATGGGAAAGTACCCAGACAGAAGGCACTTAACAGGAAGGTAAATAATTTATATGGATCTGCATCTAACTCTTAGCAAGAATATTGTCGGAAACATGGAGACGCCCCCACGCTAGAACAATTTCGTTACCTTTTGAAACCCGATACTTGTTTTGTTTTTACAGTAATTTGTTGATTGATGGACACGTGAAATTTAACTACAATAATCGCATGTACATTATACTTTGATCTTGTGGAGGTGTGGAAAATGCGGAGTGTAGAAAATATATAAAAGAAAAAGACATAAAAATATATACATGCATTAAAAATTCTGTCTTACTTAAGTAGTCAATTCTTTATTAAGCTATTGTTATCTGTAAGCAGAATATTAACCTCGCGCTAATTTTGTTGCTTTCCTTGGCTAGTTAGCTGTGAATATTTTAAACTGACAGAAAGCGCCTGGAAAATATTTTTGATCAAGTTCGAAAAGGTGTTACCGCCAACACCTAGATGGTGCAAATCTTGCGAAATGCGTTCTTCTATTACAGTTAATAATAAGCCATGGGTAGATTCAATTTAATTTGCATATTCACATGTGAGTACAAGTCCGCATTGATCTCCACGTGGTCGTACGACCTTTAAAATCTCACTTCTTCAGCTTAAATCACTTTCAAAAGGTTACTTAGAGGGCCTGCCCAGTTTTACGAGGAGTGACGTATAAGATAAGGACGAGATTGGTCAGGGAAGCTTTGGATCGGTGATGAAAGGTAAAGGTAAGTTGTGGTTGTTA